GTCGTGTTGAAAAATGTGTTGGGCTATGGTTGACGAAATAATTTTTGTAGAACGCAGAAGTGCTAAGATCCGTGACTATCCCGAACATACTATTGAATTTTAACGATCGTGCGAATATACTTACAAAATGCGAATTTTATGCCGGAGATTGGGCTTCCCTCACAACGTTATTCGACGACGACGAAAATAGGAAATATGACTATATCTTTACGAGCGAAACGATTTATAATCCGGATAATCATAAAAAGTTATATGAGATTTTTAAGAGGAGATTGAAAATTAATGGCTTTGGGTGAGTATATTATAAAGATTTCTCATATTTGTATAATTTCAAAACAAACGATTATCCTATTAGATTCATTGCCGGAAAAACCTATTATTTCGGTGTGGGTGGTGGAATGAGGCAGTTCGAGAATCTTGTATCGAAAGACGGTTGTTTCGATGTGAAATCGGTGTGGAGAAGTCAAGATGGTGATTAACGATAATCATAGATATATTTCTTTGTTGATTCAACAATATATCAACCGTACACATTTCAGGAGTAAACAGAGAAATCCTGAAACTCACGAGAAAACCGCATTAAGAATATTACATACTTGGTACGTAACATTATTGTCTTCGTGGAAGTACGAGATAACGGCTCGGAATGTTGCACTTATTAACAGTAGCATGATTTTTTTGCAGCGAAGATTGGTTGACTGATTTTTATACATGTGAAAACTGTTCATCCTCGCGTCTTTCCTCAATTAGAATACAGCGATTTTTTCTATGGTGAAAGTCTTTCGTAAACCCACCCGTTCTCTCCTTTTTTGACGAGTATATTGTCTATTCTCTCATTTGCTTTTGGACGTCTAAAACGAATCCTGTCGTGAAGACGATCGCTCTGCCCTTGCCAGAACTCTACGGAATGTGGTACGACGAGATAACCACCCCTGAAATGAGTTATCTGATAAGATAAAACGATAAAAACTCATAAGCAATTTGTATGAATAAACAATAGATGAGGATAATCTAAATTTGGAAAGTACGAAACACAAGTTTACATGACTATTAATTCATGGTAAGTTTGTCAACGATAATAAATCGTATTAGCATTGCATAGAAACGACAGCGGATGACATCGCATATGATCATTAATTTTTTCTTACTTTTATGCTTATTTCTCGACAAATCTTTGTTTAATTAAATTCGGAATGAACAACCAATTCTTTTAATTTAATAAGGATTTAATAATATATTAATCATAATTTTTTTAATTATAATATTACTTACCAGCAATCGGGCCTTTTAACTTGACCTTCTGGGAATTTCGCGAGCAGTTCTCTTTCTTTTACAATGAGAGTCTGTCTGCTAGCGATCACGCTGCTTTGTTTACTGGACATGGATCCGATTTGATTCGCATACGGCCGACTCTGGAAATAACGGTCCGAATCTTCCGCTGACGTTTTCTCTGCAATACCTTCGATACGTACCTAAAATAATTGACAATAAGACGTCAGAATATTATAATAACAAAAGAATTAATTAAAAAGTTTTGTCAGAAGAAATAATTCTATTTATACAACAATGAATATAACATACGCTTCGTCTGAGAGATTCCCAATAGAAAGTTAGCGCCACGTGTGGGTTTTCGGCCTGAAAATGGACAGAGTAATGCAATTTCCATTTCATGTTTGTGTCAAATAAATGTCAATTGTCCAAGCTTACTAATTCATGGCCTTTCCTACTGTCGTAATTCGTGTAAAACTTGAAGCCTTCTGTACCAAAGCCTTTCAGCAACACCGCGCGCATGGATGGCACACCGTCCCTGAAAGGATTGTGAATCATGTCACGTTTGTGTTTTCAAACAGGATTGTGTTACTGAATATTATTTGCGCAATTTTCGCAGCCGATTAGTATGAGGATTAACTCTCTTTTTCTCTTAGGAGAGTGCTTTACTTGATAATTATCAGACCGTAAAATATTGCCGATTGTATCTATAGACAAGTCTTGTTTTTCTTATCGATGCATATATTTCATTTTCTTATAATATCATAATATCATTATTATATAATTATATGCTTTCTACAATCAAAAATAATTTTTTTTCGATATTACCTGGTCGCTGTCGCGAGAAGCATCGCGTTAGGTTCCAAAATTTGCGGAGTATTGCATACTTCCTCGAACCATGCTTTAAACTGCCCAATGGGTTCTTTACTAATTAAGCTATCCTCCGTGAAAGTCTCTCTTTTATCTTTGTATTTTATTCGCATATCTGTGGAAAAAAGTGTGCAAAATTTAGGTATTACACATTCAACATTTCAAAAATTTTAGAGCAAGAGAAAAAATACTTAAAAATTTCGGAGTAATCTTTGAAATATTTTGTTAATTTTTATATTTTTGATTATTATTTTTATATTAATTATATTGACATATCATAACTATTTTACAAATAATATAATTGAGATAAAAATGTGATTCGATATGCTGAAATAAATCTCAATGGTAAAAACAGTCAAACTGCAGATGTTGATGCATAAATATTTATGTATCGAGAAAATCGCGCGTGTCATTGTAAAAATTCTTAATTAAATATCTTATATATATCTTATATAATAGTATTATATATCTTATATAATAATATTCGGAATTTTTTTGTCATTCGAAATCTATTTGTCATGATATAGGGAAGAAGCACGATACAAAACTGACAATTGCGATAGTCATTGATTCCTACCTCCTATGTCAACGGCGAAATTCTCGCTTCGGAACGACATGTCACACGACTGCACACTCGTGAGCTCGACGATGGAATACGGAACTGATCGACTTTCTACACGAACGGAAACGGAGTGCGGCTGCACAAAGTGCGCATGTACGCAGCAAACAGAACCATAAATAGAAAAAGAAGGATGACAATTTCATGTTATCTTGACATAGCAAATTGACTTTTCTGATAATGTCAGGAATTCCACGTGGCATTTTCGTAATAATGAATTTTAAGCTATTTGGAATATCCTGAGCAACTTGATATTAATATTATCTAATTGAAAATAAAAAAATTAGAGAAATCAAAGAAAATTTAAAGAATGTTATATATCAATATATCCCAGAAGATTTTTTAAGATTACAAAAAACTGTGTTATTGAAATTTGACGAGTTGTTATGAGTCTCGGGGCTCCAAAATAGTTAGTTAATAATCCGTCATGGAGATTATCTTTCCTGCTCTGTCATGAGATGGCACTAATAAAGCGTAGAATCATCATATAGATAATCACGCAGATAGATAATATTTGTAATTAGATAATATGTTATATTGATACCGATCTCTTATAATTAACAAAATTTCTGAAAATAATCCAATAAATAATAATGCCACAATAATTTTTTATTCTATCCATCATTTTTACAATTAAGTAATTCTCAGATATTGAAATAACGAAATTGATTGCAGTTATGTGAATAAATTGTGATATGACGAGGTATATTATAAATAAATTGCTATATGACGAACTATTAGGATACTGCAATTTCGGCAGTTGAAATCTATTGCAGTTCGATAATATTAGTCGCTATATTACGAAATTGTGTAACTTTTTTTAAAATCTGTTAATATATATTCATCATCTTTATCTGCTAAAAATTAAACACAGTCACGCGTGTTGCAAAGTCTTATTGATTTAAATAGCGACACCTCCAATTTAAGTACAGTAATACGAATACCGATATTTATATCATTATTAAAAATTAATTTCATATATAAACTTAGGATCTGTCTCTATCTATGTATTTACAAAATTAACGTATAATCATAACTTATTACAAGATTATAAAATATAAACAAAAATTCCACATATTTTCCTCGAATAAACACATTAATATTGTATTTTATCCTGTCTCGACTAATTTCGTTCGATCTTCAAATTTCAAATAATACGTCTTAATGTTAATAATTAAAGTAAATCGTTTTTTTGATGGCGGGATCATATATAAATATTCGCAATCGTCACGAATATCTAGGCGCCCGCCGCTGGCAGTGACTTATTTGGCGTGACCAGAGGCACTCGAATCATTCCGTCATTACTCTTCGTGTTTTCGAATTGCGCGCCTTCACTTGCATTCGCCGCCACAAGCGGCGCTGCGGTCGACGCCACAGTGCTCGCCGGTTTTGAAACTCGTTCAATTTTCGCGGCGCGCTCGCGGCTCGTTAGATTTACGCGATTCTGCGTTGCTTCGTTTGCCAAGATCCGGGCGCCGATCTTTCGCGAAAAGATCTCTTGGCGATTGTTGGCGATCGTACGCACTCGTAGCCGTCGTCGACGCGTTCTGTTCGCGATCGCGTTCCCGTTCTCGTCACCTCTGATCGTGGTGCTACTCGTTACGATCGTCATCGGGGTCGTCTCGTTCGAACGACGACCTTCGCTGTTGTCCGCGGACGCGAGTGAATCCGTGCAATTCGGCGGCGATTCCCCGTGTAGATACGTGATCGGCCAGTGCCTGCCGTAACTGGGATCGTATCGATAATCAGGACGATCGTGGCGATCGTCGCTTCCGATCATCGGCCGGATCGGCCGTGGACTCGGGAGGTAGGGATGGTACTTCTCGCTGCAAGGACGCCATTGATCCTCCGACGATCCCACATAGCACCTATGATTGATTTATTTGTTTGTTACATAATTTTTTTTTCTAATTTCAGAAACGCACAAGGAAGGAAGAAGTACGTCACAGGAGGAAATTACCGTAAGCACGAAATATACCGGGATTGGTGAGTTTTGTTGATATTACTATTGTTAAATCATTTATAGAGAGACGATTAATAGCAATATTTGAATAATTGCACGCAAAAAAAATTGCTATAAAATTTTTGTAAAATTTCTCCTTTTATCACATCTCTGAAATAAATATCGCGAAATCGAGATTGGAAAAATGTAAAAAAAAAAATAAGTTAAAGTATAAAACGCCGAAAGAATATTATATTCTATAAATGATACGTATTTAGACAGTTTTCTGCAGAAAGGGATAAACCCACTCAAATATACAATTGAAAAAACAATAAACAAAGATTTATATAAATTCAAAATTTTCCATTAATTTTATGCTCATTATTTCTGGAGCTTTTGAGCTGTATTTTATCTATCTGTATTTTATTTTTTTTACAGGTGATTTTTAAGTATTTAATAAAACAAAATGTTGCAAGATCTCAATTTTTTTTTGTAGGTTAGTTCTTTTCTGTAGAAAGCCGTTCATTTATAATAATATATACCATGGATATTGGTATCCTTGCGAGAAGCCGCAATGATGAGTCGGTGCACAACAATAGTCCCAGTTGCCGTATTCGCTTCCTTCTGGCTCACAGGTCCAGAACCCGGCGATTTTATTTTTCTCGCACTTCGTATCCTTCTTACACGGATAGCCATTTACCGTGTAATGGCGGAAAGTCGAAAACTCGTTCGCTAATTTGGAAGGAAATGATCAAATCAAATCTTGTGCAGAACTTTATAAATAATAATATTTTTAATTGTTTATATACTTACGATAAAGAGATCCGAATATACCGGGACGAACACCGAAGTCAAACTTGTCACTGTATCCACCGCCAGGACGATGATGTGGTTTGATAGGATCAGGCTTGTCAGGATCGAACGGTCTCTCGTCGTGATGATAACTCCCTGGTTTAAAGTAAGGTCTCGGATCAGGATACATATCGTCAGGTCTCACGTTCGGATAACCGGCTTCTTGATTAAAGTCGGGTCGTGTGGGGCCCGGAAGTAGCGGTCTTAAAGGACTCTGTCCACCAAACACGTGATCGTTATCGATAGAATAACCGGTGATCACGCAATAAGGATCGAGATCCTTCCACGCGTATAGAACGTGATTGTTATCGTAGATGTAATCTAGACCTGGTCGCAAGTCTCTTATAGGTACATCACTAAGCAAACAATTCTCTTCTGTGCCGTGCGTAGTGAGTCTAAAAATTGAAGGAAATTAACGTGCATTAATAAATTTTTACGTATTGTAAAAAGTAAAGTTAACTGGCATTATTCATATTTTCGAGATCTTTTACACTAAAAAGATATATCACCCCTTATTATTAATTTTATTTAATTTCATTATATTATAATTTTATTTAATTTCATTATATTATAATTTTATTTAATTTTATTATATTATAAATATTAATTATATGATAATTATATGTGCATTTTAGACACATTAATCAATTAAATTAAAAACCACATTCAAAAGCTTATTTGATATACACTCACTTGTAACTATAAGACATGCAGGGAATAGAATCAGTTTCTCTCATCCTCGAGCATTTCTGTCGACAGTCTTGTTCCGAATTTACGTACGTTGCCAGAAGCACGGCGTAAGGTGTCAATTTGCATGGCTTAGTATATCCGGAATAACAAACTGCAAAAGATTTATTTATCAAAATTTAAGACAGAGAGTTATATATTTTTTAAATTATATAAATGTTATTTTAATTATAAATTATATTAAAATATTTTTTGTAATCAACTAGTAGAGATCGATATATTCTCGCATGTATACCTTCATCTGTACCTTGCGGAGATTGCTTGCTATTGAATTGTTTCATATTAAAAAATGGTACGGCGTACGGTTCGCATCCCCTGCCGAAACTCCCTTTTTCATATAATTCCGCGCCGTCCATATCCGGCATATGGGCAGGATTGATATCCTGCGACGGCCAATCACTTAGATAACAATTAATCGGAATATCGGATCGATCTTGTTCTAATCCGTACCTGAAATATTTCACAATACAAATTGGAGGAGATGGCGCGCTATAATATATGTATAAATAAATTACTCCATTATTTTTCGCGTCGTCGCTATCGATTTTTGCGTGAAAAATTATTCGAATAACGCGAAGCTTACTTGAACGCGAAACTTCTGCACGTGAAATCTTGCGCTAACGTGCACGCCGCCTGACACTCTCCTAGATTGTTGACTATTATTGATTTTCTAACAACGTCCGCCGGCATTCCGAATCCGCTTCTGACCCTCCAAAAACATTCTAGAAAAGTTTCATAAAAAAACAAACTCCTCGTGTGACTGTGTGCGTATCGCGAATCCTATTGAATAAAACACGCGAGAGAGAGAAAGAGACGACTTATAGTTGCCTGTCGATTTTAGTTGTTACCGGAAACACAAAGCGGAACGCATAACGTATGGTAACGCAATCGGGGCAGTAGTGCAACGCTCGGGACAATAAATTGCATTATCTGAAAGTCAGCTTCTATTCACCATCTAATCAAAATTTAGGAAATGAAAAAAAAATACATATTGCGAATTATATTTTCATATCAAATTGCATTTAGATGAAAATTAATTAATAGTGAAATTCTTTCTCAAAGTTAAATCGTATATACACATATATTTATACCATCCGGAGGATGTGGACTCGGTTCTCTTCTCGTGCCGCAGGTTCTTGAGTTGGCGATTATGGCATAAATATCGTAATCACGATCTGGTTCGAGGTCGATGTAAAAATTCAGATCTTTATACGAAACGTCGCTAAGAAGACAATTGTCCGTAGGATCCGTGGGTGCTACATTGTACCTATCCAATTAACACATTATTTTATATATATATTAAATTTTATTAATATAAAATTTTATACATATAACTCAAGGCAATTATATACGACTTTTCTATTATTAGAATTATCAAGATGTACCTGTAACTGAAGCTCATGCAGATGTAACTCTTCTCGTTAAGGCACAGACTTTCGCATTGATCTAAATTCGACGTCAGATAAGTCTTCCGAACAACACCTTTGCTAAGTTTGAATCCCGCACCGGCTCGGACGGAGCACTCCTCGG